TCATTCCAAGATCTCGCCGCCGACAAATCCGCTCTTCTCTCGCTCCGTTCCGCCGTCGGTGGCCGTACATTTCTCTGGGACATCAAACAAACCACGCCATGCAACTGGACCGGCGTCGTTTGCGTCGGTGGCCGTGTAACCGCTCTCCGTTTACCCGGCGTAGCTCTCTCCGGTCAAATACCAGAGGGCATTTTCGGTAATTTAACTCAGCTCCGTACGCTCAGCCTCCGTCTCAATGCTTTAACCGGTACTCTCCCTTTAGATCTCGGTAGCTGCTCCGATCTCCGGCGACTCTACCTTCAGGGAAACAGATTCTCCGGTGAGATACCAGACGTTCTGTTCAGTCTCAGTAACCTCGTTAGGTTAAATCTAGCGGAGAATGGTTTTACCGGCGAGATCTCGTCTGGGTTTAGTAACCTCACTAGGCTTAAGACTCTGTATCTAGAGAATAACAAGCTCTCTGGGTCTCTTCTAGATATGGATTTGCCTTTGGATCAGTTCAATGTCTCTAATAACTTGTTGAACGGATCTATACCAAAGAGTCTGCAGAAATTCGACTCCGATTCTTTCGTCGGAACTTCACTCTGCGGCAAACCGCTCGGTATCTGTTCTAGTGAAGGAACTGTGCCTAGCCAGCCGATTTCTGTCGGAAACATACCTGGAACTGTCGAAGGAAGTAAGGAGAAGAAGAGCAAGCTCTCCGGTGGTGCGATTGCCGGAATAGTGATTGGATGTGTGGTTGGTTTCTTCATGATTGTTTTGGTTTTGATGGTTCTCTTCCGGAAAAAGGGGAATGAGAGAACAAGGGCCGTCGACATTGCGACTGTGAAGCATCGTGAAATTGAAATTCCCGGCGAGAAACCGGCGGTTGAAGCACCGGAGAATGTGAGCTATGGAAACGAGTTTTCACCTGCGGTGATGACTGGAACGTCGAAAGCCGTGGAAGTGAATAGCTCAGGGACGAGGAAATTAGTGTTCTTTGGGAATGCGACAAAGGTTTTCGAACTGGAGGATCTGTTGAGAGCTTCGGCGGAGGTTCTGGGAAAAGGAACGTTCGGGACGGCGTATAAGGCAGTGCTTGATGCAGCGACATTGGTGGCTGTGAAGAGGTTGAAGGATGTGACAATGGCGGATAGAGAGTTCAAGGAGAAGATTGAGGTTGTTGGAGCGATGGATCATGAGAATTTGGTACCTCTGAGAGCTTACTATAACAGTGGAGACGAGAAGCTGCTCGTGTATGACTTCATGCCTAAGGGAAGCTTGTCTTCTCTCTTACATGGTAAGAGTTATCTCTCTCTTTCTCTGCTAAAAATTGTGAATTTTGTTGTTAGTAGTTCTCTGCTATAGCATTTGGAAATATTGCCTTGTTGAGTGATAAGTGTGATACAATTTGGATGCAAGTATTGATTTGCTCATTTACATTACTGTTAAGACAGAAATGTCAAAGCTTTTTTTATTATACAGTGACTAAAGCTTTTTTTATCATACAGTGACTAGTTTAGTGCTGCATTACTTTGATTTCGACTTCATAATCGAATGATAACAGTTTCTGTTAAACTTATTGACATGGTTTAGTAATAACTTCAGAAAATGATTGTGTCCTGGATGATACATCCAGATTTACTGTGTTCTTGTTTCAGACCTGCCTTTTTTTGTATTTGATCTTTAATGTCATGCTCTGTTTCAGGAAACAAAGGCGCAGGACGGTCTCCACTGGACTGGGAAATCCGATCACGTATCGCCCTTGGAGCAGCTCGTGGCGTGGACTATCTTCACTCACAAGACCCATTAAGCTCTCACGGAAACGTTAAGTCCTCCAACATCCTCTTAACAAACTCTCACGATGCACGCGTCTCTGATTTCGGCCTGGCACCGCTTGTCGGCTCCTCAACCACAACCCCAAACCGGGTTACCGGGTACCGTGCGCCAGAAGTAACTGACCCGAGGCGCGTCTCACAGAAGGCCGACGTGTACAGCTTTGGTGTGGTGTTGCTAGAGCTGCTCACCGGAAAAGCGCCTTCTAACTCGGTGATGAATGAGGAAGGAATGGATTTGGCGAGGTGGGTGCATTCGGTGGAGAGAGAAGAGTGGAGGAGTGAAGTTTTTGACTCGGAGCTGATGAGTTTGGAGACTTCGGTGGAAGGAGAGATGGCAGAAATGCTGCAGCTTGGGATTGAATGTACGGAGCAGCACCCAGACAAGCGGCCAGTGATGGTGGAGGTGGTGAGGAGGATTCAGGAGTTGCGCCAATCGGGTTCGGTTCAGGTGGTGGGCTAGACCGATGGATGGAAAGAGGCTTGAGAGGTTCATTAGCTAGATTGACGATATGAACCGAATGATGTCTCTCACTCTCTATCTCTAATTGTGGAACCTTTGAATGTTTAAATGTTAGTTTAAGAATATGGCGGGAATTAGAGTTGAGGTCGTTAATTAGA